AAAATAATCGAATATAGTAACTAATTTAGAAATTACTTATTAAATTTTTGGTGTCTAAAAAAAGGTCCTATGTACTATGCTACGGAATGTAAAAAGAATCAAACAAATCGATCCCATTACTTACTACATTACCAATCGATGCCATAACTAATTTATTTAACAATCAATTTAAGGTTTAATGTAAAGATTTTTGATCAACAATCAAAAAGTGCAGTATAGTAACTAATTAGTAACTAATAGATATCAATAATCGAATTACGTCGATTACTTTTAGTAACTATCGCCCATCGCTACTCAGTTGTCGAAATTATTCGTAAACAACAACTGAAATTATTATTATTATTTGTATTATTATTATTTATAGTGTTCTAACAAGTAGTATGTATGAGTGCAGTAGGAATTAAGTGTATAAAAGTTCCCAAGGACACATATCAATGAGAAGTGAAAAATGTCAGTGAAAATAAATAGTTCGTAAAGGTCACTACAATGTCTAATTTTTCGTAATCTAAAGCGTTACAGGTATATAAAAGTTAATGTATTTTTCTTACACAAGTGGTTATGATGAATCCAACGAGGAATATCAACTGGACGCAAAGAAGAGTAGCTTGCACCATGATTGCTTCAGGATAAGTACGTAATATATTTATCGCCCTTTTATATTGTCGCAATTGTAACTGTGATTAATTGATACACCTATGCAGGACAATTAAGCAAGCGAAACAAATAGCATAAACTACAGAGCATTAAGGTTAGATTAACTTAACTTTGTATTTACACTAGCTTTTGCCCGTGATTGCGTTTGCGTACAATGAGCTTAAGGACAAAAAAAATTGTTTAAAAAAATAAATAAATGGAAAAAAACTGTACAACACCAACACTTGAATTTAGGTGTGAGAGGGGGATTCCTGTTGAGAAAGTAAATTTTAGAAACTTTGCAAAAACGCAAAATGCAAATTGATTCTGTCTATGAACATCTTAAATTAGAATACAATTTGACCTAAAAACAAGTAGGTACGCATCTGGCACTCGCCGGCCGCCGCCGTATGCGAAATACATTTGTTTTCTTTTAGACCAGCAAAGAATCCAATATGTAACAACAATAATTTTGTTAATACTATTTTTGTGTTTCGTGTTTTTGCAACAAAAATTTAAAATAAAAGCATACTTATTAAATATAATTGTCTTAAATGTCAAATGTACAATTATTATTTATTGATTTATGCTTTTTTTTATTAAATATTACGGTAAATTTTTGTTTGTTTTTTGTTTTTATTGTGTTTCTTTTATTTATCGCAATATTTGGTTAGAAAGATTAGATCAATAAATAATTTTATTGTACCGACAACGGCACATCAGACTACACATTTTTGTTCCAAAATCGCTTCCAGTGCAACGGAACAAGATACGTCAATGTGTAGCTTGATGTGCTGGTGTGCATTTGTCGCGACAACCAAACGCCTTTCGGCGTTCCTAACCTGCAAAACCTGTTTTCAGTCATTTGCATTCGAATATTTCAATAATTGTCAAAACATTGAGTTTCCGCAAGTTACTCGTAATATTTTAGAATTAGACTACTAACTACGTAGTCTATTCACCATATTAATTTTAACTCTCAGCTCGAGTGTTGTACAGTTGGCAGCCCACACCCTGCCAAGTAAATAAGACGTTGTTGCTGTTTTTGCGTGCATACGCAGATACAATAAAAATTGAAGTCTAAAAATTGACTCACTACGAAAATGTGAGTTTAGGTACTTTTGACTATCTCATGTCTCATTAACGTCATTTACGTGGATCTCATTTGCCCGCGAACTAAGTATGTTTCGCGGTATTGAAATCAAAGGCATATTGTTATTCACCGTCCGATTTTCTGTTAGTTAATCGCAACTAGGGGTTAAGAAGGCGGGTCCCAATCATATAACCAACTGCACTAGCATGCAAAACTTAAATTGGCTACATGTTTCAGATACACGGAATTATCCAATGCTAGTTACAACGGGATTGCACTATACCCGACGATATCAAAAACACAATATTAATACAGAAGCAAATGAAAGGAAACACAGGAATAATAAATGTTTATGACGTTGACGTGTCATCTGAGTCATTAAGTGACATTTAAATAGTCAACAGGTATGAGGTTGTGACATAGTTTTAGCCAATCTCAGTATGTATTTTAATAATATAATAATTGAATGGTCATGTATAAATTATGAAAGAAGTAGTGGGTATTAAGTAAGACGATTAGATCATTTTTTTAATAATCCTAATAGATGGATAACTACCATTTGAAGCATAGAGTTTGCCATGCATAAATATAGTGTTGCTAGTCATTTATACGTTCGATCTATAATTTTGAGTGGTACGAGTGATTAAAAACATCTATTTTATTTTTTTATGAATTCGCCGAATTTTTTTATTCAAATGTATAATAGAACTTCAAGTACATCTTTGTGCCCAAGTTATAAGAAAAAAAAGATCTTTTGCGTATCATTTTTTTCACATTTCGGGTTTCTCTTTATTTATAGACAAACAGCTAACATTACATTTCAGATCAGTAGTATATTTTAACCAAAATTCTATAAATTGATGACAAAGAACCTAGAAATATGCAGATTTGTGAGGTTATGTAAATGCCATGATATGTATCAACTGCCTCCGTAGCCACACAAAGGTCCCGGGTTTGATTTCCGGGCCGAGAGAAATATTTGTATGGTCTACATTTATTTATTTCCTAAGGGTTGGTAATTTGTGGTTATCCACCTGTACGTGTGTCCATGGCACCCGCGATACACGCTTTCGCTAATGCGGAGCTGTGAGTATGTGCGTTATTTATTTAATATCTATGTAATTATAGAATTATAAGCTAAGTTTCAGAGGCGAACACAGATTTAGTATAATTATTAGGGATGTAGATCTCTTTTCTACAATATTCTTTTGCCTCTGATCTTTTTTTCCTCTCTTCTTGGCTTCTCGCGATAAGCGTGTCAGCCTGTTTACAAAGTGTTTGTTTCAAGATGGAGTTTGTTTGCCTCTGAAATTTGCTTTTATTATTTTTTTATTTACATAGATACACATTGAAACAAAACTTAATGCTATCAAACTACAAACGGAACCTTTTTGCAATTTGTTACAATCCGCAGAATTCAGATGACGAAATTATGAACTAATGCATAAAATAAGCGAGCAAACGCCCAATTTCTAAATGAGTCTGTTTAGGTCAGTCCGGTAAATAACAAAAAAGGCCTTCTCCCTGCAAAGGAAGACGTGGTTTTATTAATATGTTGAGGGAACATTGAGCTAACTCTTAGGACCAAAATGTGCTGTAAAAATGGTTTTCTGTAAATAACGCGAAAACAACAAAACTGTGTAGGACAAAATTCTTTAACATTTGTGTGGTAAAGTCTGGCTAACGAAAGACGAGGCTGGAAAAACGCGGGAAAATTGAAAAAAATCGTATGGTATCACGGATGCAGAAGGAAAAAAATAATTTTGATACTAGCACAAAAGGAATAATATTATTTTACTAATTGATCTGTCAATATAGGTGTTCATAATTTGGAGGCCTATATCCAAAGTCTCTGTAATGACATAAGAATAAAAGTACCTAAAATATTAAATGGCCAACTCTATCCATTTTTATTTACGTACTGTAACTTCGGTAGTTAGTGTAGTTCGGTAGCTATAAAGATAAAGAAAGATATTATACAAGGTGGCCGCGATAGTGACGCCAAAAAAAAATTAGGTGTCTCACTCACCCCTCTGTGTGTTCCGCGATTTTTCGTAGCTTTCTGGTTACGATTTTTTAAAGAATTTTTGCAAATTATTTACCGGATTTTTTTCGGGTTTTTTGTTTTGCAACTCAAGCTATACAAATTGTACTTTAATGCACAAAATTATTCGCTTTCTAGCATCAACGGAAGGCATGAAAGTTTTGACCTAAAGTATAAAATTCGCGTTTGAGCGACTTGAATTTTCAACTTCAAGTTAAAAATCTAAACGGCCAATTCCATAGTTCCTAGGTTACTTTGAAAACTACACTAGACTCTAAGCTTTCATATTAATACAAAAAAAGTAGTACTTAATAAGCCATTATTCGCTGAAATCAGCCTTCAAAAACACTAAGGAAGAAAATCTTAAGATAGCAATTTGATTAGAAAAAATAAATTATTGCATATTTTATCATTCTCAGTACTAATGATAGAAAGTGACATAAACTAACAAAAAATAATTGTAGATAAGTAACCTATCATTTGGACATTTTAAATTTTAATAGGATACTGTAAGATACAGGTGTAATATACAGGATGGTAGAGATTCGCTCGGCTAGCTGGTGCCCCCTTACTACGTCCAGGAATCAAACGACGAAATTTGGTGAAGAAGACTTGGTTTATTGTACAACATCTTACAATACAAGGGTGTCCAATAAAAGGGATTCGTCCCGTTAGATGCAAGCGCGGCGCAGAGTCCGCGACGAGATTGCAAAATGACACTCACTCAGAGGTGTTTTCGTAACCTGTCCCGAAAGATGGGCGCGAGTTCGTGATGCTCCCGCTTAAACGTGAGGAATCCGTAGAAATGCAATCGTTGAACGATGAATTTCATAAAAAATACTGGTGACACGGAAAATCTTAACACCGCGATTCAGAAATTGCGTTTTATCGAATCCATCCGGATCAATTTAAGTTGTTGGGCAATTAAAAACTTGAATTTTGTATTTTTCCATATATTTTGACGTAACGACTCATCTTCTGTGTATGTCAGTGAATAACAACGCAGAAGCAAAGAAAAAAACTTGTTCTTTATTTTAAGTTTGCTTTATTCCCTTTTCCCATTTACGTGCTAAGTTTCATCTCCATTGCCCTTAATATATCACAATCTTATATAACACACAAATCAGTTATCGCCAACTAACTGTCAAATTCAAAACGTCCATTGTTTAGTTAGTACAATTTGTTTCATTTTGTCAGTGAAAGTGTTGATGGCGTTGTACAAATCAATTATCGCCAACAGTCAAATTCGAAAATTTTTACTTAAACAACTCTTTATTGATCTAACAATAATATGGGCATTTCTACGTGTATGGAAACTAAAAATTCTGCGTTTTTCATTATTGAAATGGGACAGTTTGTTGACTTTAGTTAAAATTATTTAAATTTACATACAGTGGCATGGTTGGCGTTTATGCAGTGTTGTTCGTAACCACGATAACTGATGGTTCATTTGTCGTCTCTCTAAATCACACTGTTAATATTTATTCCGTCATTGGTATATTGATGATACGAGCCTTATAAGTAACATATTATGGACGTTGGAGGTACTCTAATTTTATTTGTACTCGACTGGGTTGAACGTTTATGAATACAGAAATTATCCAATTCGGCCGGTTATTTCACACTTCATTTTCTTCACTGCGAGTTCACTTGTTATAGAGTTGTAAACTAATGCGTCACATTCAGCTACAGCCGTAATGTCTAATGGAACATAATATATGCACGTAATTTTAAGTCTGTAATTATATCCATTAACAACTTGTTTTTCAGCTTTGGTTATTTTACAATCATCGTAACGAAATCGATCGACTGCAGATTCGGGCTTATGAGCCGCTACTGCTGCTTTAGCAGCACGAACGACATCTGGATCATCAGTCTTCACTGTGTTGAATCCGCCTTTCATCTGAAATGAAACATGATACATCATAACCCAATATATCCTTATCACTTTTAGTTAAACTTTAAAGTAGTCGAGGTTTTCGAGGACTCTCAGAATGGTACGCTTGAATAAAAAATATAATATTTGTCATTGGACAGGGTAATAAAAATGGGATGAGCACTGATGCTCAAGTATACCGCTCTGACCTGATTCCATAACACAGATTTTAAAATTTTGGTGGTTATTTACTAATTATCAGTTACAGGTATCTTACTACAGTATGAATTATTTTTATTGTTCCGATATTTCACTATACGTTCCATGGACACGGGTGGAACTACATAATCACTTACTGACTCCGTAATGCCCCAGTTTATGAATATGTGCGTTGTCTTGTACAATTAACAGTACGAAACACGTAATTGGTAACATATGATATGGAACACGTAACACTAATCATGTATTCGAGTTGGTTATGAACCGGTTCAGTGAGTGAAATAAGGGAATTAATTTTCCGTTGGCAGTCGAAGAACTTTGCACGTAAAAGTGTACCTCTTAAGATGAGCACCGAAGAAGAAGCGGGAAACACTATTTTGCTAGATCAAATGATTTAGGTACATTTGATCAAGCTGAAATAAACGTCTAAAAATAATTATTTATGAATAAAGTATCTAACTTTGTACATAATCTTTATATGGATATTTCTCTTTAAGTACGTACTGTAGAGACTGAAGCCACATAATTATTAAATTCACGTTAATGCAAAAATTTGCAAATTAGCCAGCCCACTGCCCCGTTACTTGCCATCGGGCGCTTGTCGACGTCGCACAGTGATCAAAAATCACAATTTAAGAGGACGAAAAACCCACACATTTTTCGTTTTATTTGACTTGAAATTTGTTTAATAAATGCGGTTACAATACAAATATATGGATCCAATTCTTTTTTTATTAATATTCACAAAATTATTACTTTTTGCCAACTTCACATTAGCTTTCAATTTGAGGTGTGTCAATAAGTCTAAAACTTCTAAAACTATTTTTTTCTTTTCTAAAACTATTTCTATTTAAAATTCGAAAAGAAAACGAGTTTTGTGAGAAAAAAAAAATGAGAAACAAAATAAAAACAGAACAGATCGAAAAATTAACTTTGCGTAATGTTCATTGGAGATATATTGAAAAGTGGTTCGTAAGCACCCAGTAACATTAATAGCGAATCTGAATCCTATTTACTATGCAAAAACATTTAAATTCCTCAGAATTATACAACCATCTAATAAGACCAAAGGCAATAAGGCAACATTTAAATTAAAACATAAAAGCTGAATAAATAGAGCGTATTTTGCCATGACATCGGTCTCTGTCTGCGTTCTCCACGCAGTATGAGCGCGATGATATTCGTGTCGAATAAACGCGCCCTAAACTGCTTACAACAATCTCAAATTTTTCGTATCCTAATGTATTACAGATATACAAAAGTAAAGTCATTTTTCTTACACAAGTGGCGAATCCAACGAGGAATATCAACTGGACACAAAGAAGAGTAGCTCGCACCATGGTTGCTTGCAACATATGAATGTATAATACTTATTACCTTTTTATATTCTCGCAGTTGTAACTGTGATCAATTGATACTCTTATGCTGGGCAATTAAACAAGCGAAACAAATAGCATAAATTGCAGTTTATTAAGGTTACTTAACTTCGTATTTACACTAACTTTTGTACGTGATTGCGTTCGCACAAAAAAAAAATGTTTGACTCTCCTAAGTGTTGGTGTAATTTGTGGTTCTACCTATGTGTGTCCATAGCACCCACGATACAGTATAAGTAAGCTAAAATGCACACAGTCAAGTGTATAACTGTTATAACTGTATAATGGTCAGCTCAGTGGGATTGTGTGAGCACGAGAATTGTGGAGCGTGACTTCGGGTTTGTCCCGATGCTGCGTGCGTTTATAATCAAGGAAAAAGAAGGGCGCCTTACACACAACTAAGTTTCAAATGGAAATAACCAGATGCTTTATTTATGTTAAGCTATATTTTAAGAGTCGTTATTTTACTAAGCATTATGCGTTACAAGCATTGACCTACCAATTACAAGATAATACTTTTAGTTTTTAACCGACTGTAAAAAAAGGGAGGAGGGTATAGGTTCGGCTATATGTATGTTTTCCGATATTTCTGTCAATTGTGGACCGATTTTGAAAATTGTTTTTTTTTTGTTTGAAAAGGCGGTGGTCCCATTGTCACCAAGTTAGAATGTGATGAGGGAATTCCATGACAATCGAAGGAAATACTCAAATTTCCACGTGTTATATTCGTTTGTCAAAATTACCGGTAGTTACTTAGTTAACGTATCAGAACTTAGCATTTGCCGCTGGAAATGTTCTCTTACTGGAGGGCATGGTTATCAATAAAAAACGTGCTGAAAAAATGACTGATGCAGATGATAAAAAAGCCAAAGCCAAATTAATCATGACAATTGATTCCAGTCTTTATGTCCACATAAAAGAAAAGAATACTGCTCAGGATGTGTGGAAACGTCTGAAATTACTTTTTGATGACCGGCGATTTAAAAAAAATCAGCTTATTGCGGCATTTAATTTCAATTCGGCTGGAAGAAAGTGAATCTATGACGAAATATGTAACCGAGACTGTGGATACAGCTCAGAAATTACAAGGGACAGCATTTCAGATTATTGATGAATGGGTTGTAAAAACAGTAAAAACGGACGCCATTAAAGCGAAATTACTTGACATGAGTTCGGAGTTGGTAGCACTGGAATGGAAAGTGCTTTTTTGTCTAAAGGTTGGAAAAGCAACAAAAAATATGGCAACACTGATAAAACTTCAAAGTTGAAAACACCATCTTTAAAACCTGTAAAAACAATTCGATGTTACAAATCGTTACTGCGCGTGCAAAACCGCGGAAGAGCAGTTGGTAAATACCGCGTAACAACAAAAGGTACAAAATTGTACCTACCTACTGTTGTATTATGGTATCGCGCCAAAAGATCTCACAGATTAGAATTAGCCTCTAAGAAACCTCATTTTTGGCATCGAAACAATACCGCGAAACAGTAGCACTGCTGAAATTGTACCAAATACCAAATTAATGAAGAAGTTATAACACGATCTCTGCACGAAACCTATGACTCCCTAGTCGTTTCCTAGTAGTTCTCCTGAACTAAGAGATCAAATTCATCAAGACGAAGTAATGTTAAAATTTATTATTTGAAAGTTAATGATAAAAAGGAAAAAAAATGGAGACAGTCGGGCATCGGTATGAATATACCACGACAAGTCGGAGTCAGCTCAAAGGAATTCCGTTTTATGGAGAATAGACACGCCTGCGTTTTGGTAGCGTTAATTTTGACAAGATTGGCATCGCCCCAATCGGAGACTGCCTGGAGTGTCAAATCAAAACGGCTAACCATGGACTCTCGACAAGACTGGATTACCTCTCCATTGACCCTTGAATTGGTCAAGTAACTATCTATCTACAACTATGCTGTCATCAGCGACGCAAATGTACCTGGAATTAACATATCATTGATATACAGCAGATAGAGAGTTGCAGACAGTACGGACCCTGAGGAACTCTCTATCTATCGCCGTATGTTCGGAAGAGTAGCCTTCTAAGACCACTCGAATCGAACGTTCACTCAAGAAATCCGAGATCCAATTACAAATTCAGTGGGAACCCCATAAGAGGGAAGCTTAATTAAAAGGCTTGCGTGCCAGATCCTGTCAAAGGCTTTAGAAATGTCTAAAGACACTGCAAGCGCCTCGCCTTGCTTTTCTATAGCCTCGCTCCATTTGTGACAGGCATACACAAGAAAATCCCTAGATCGCCCTCGTGGGAATCCGTACTGGCGATCTCTAAGGAGGTCGTTGTTTTCAGGGTACGACAGGAGACGGTTGTGGAGTATACGTTCCATAGTCTTGCAGAATATGGAAGTGACTGAGATAGGTCTATAGCTGACAGGGTCAGCTCTGCTTCCCTTTTTCGGTACAGGTTGCACGTTTACAAGCTTCCACGACCTGGGAACTACACCAGTCTCTAGTGAGAGGCGGTACAAGCGTGTGAGAACAGGAGACTACTCAGGCGCACAGTTACGCAGGACTATTGCTGGAATTCCATCTGGCTATTCACGTCTAGATTTCGCAGTGTTCTAAGTACCTCTTTTTGGCATATGCGAACTGGCAACACAGGGCAGCCAGCCTGAGATAAAGTAGGTGATAGGGTCAAACGCGAGCTCTCTGCAAAAAGTGAGGCAATAAGATTCGCCTTCTCTTCCGCAGTATGAGCCAGCAAGCCATCCGGCCTCAGCAGAGGTGGCAAAAGTGAGCGACAAAAGTTAGATTCGACCGCTTTGGCCGGGGACCAAAAGGATTTGCTGCCTGCTGGATAAGAGGCAAGCTTGGCCTCCATGTGGCGCACGTGGTGGAACTTAGCCCTACGTAACACACTTTTGCATTTCTTGACGGCCTTATTAAAAGCTTTCTTTAAATTCTGAGTACTCGGAGCTTTGCGTAGTCGAGCATACCCAAACGCAAAACCTCGACTACAGCATCAGCACAGCTCGACGAGTCTCCTGAAATAAAGCACGCCTCTCAGGGGTATGACGCAAAGTCATGTACGTCAACTGTGTATTATAAGTCTTAGACTATGGAAAATATCTTTTTCCGACCTCTAAGATTATAGTGGGTAATATCATAATAAAAAAAATAGGGTGGCGTGGCTACAGAGCAAGACACTACCTTTTAATTCTATTTGTGGAAGACATTTAGCAAGGTTAAGCTGCTGTGATTTTCAGAGAACTTATGAGACTGTTTTTTTTTTGTTATTCTTAATTATTATTTTCAAACTTTAAAATTTAATAACATTTTAATCACGAGAGCTTACCTTCGTTTTGACTTACTTATAAAAAGATTTCTATATAACTTGACTACGCACAGTTACAATTTATTGTTTATCTGATAATACTTTTTTGGTCTAAGAAGATGTTAGTTTTAGAACT